AGATGATGTGAGTCATGTGTATCTCCAGTAAGGTCGGACATAATGACGATTTTCCTCGTTATTAGCATTTACAATTTTTTATAAAACCCATCCCTAACCTCAAAATTAAACTTTTTTGTCATTTTATAATAGTTTTAAAAAATATAAAAAGATTTTAAGATAAAATATGATAACAGATGGAGCCACTAAAAATTTTAAATGTCGCCGGGAAAGTTGAGCAACTCGTTACTGGCTTATTTAAATGGTAAATACTAACTAGTTAATGGCATTTATTACATTATTGAAGTTATATTAAAATTTTCCGGATGCTTTAATATATAATCTTTCAAACACAGCGTACTCTTGCTAATCCGAACTATTGTACGAAGTTGTTCGGATTAGTGACATTAGATTTTTTTAATCTTCCAGCTCTGTGAACATTTTAAATCGTACCCATTGTGGCTTCGGAAAACCCACAATTGGGGCAGCCTAATAATGAAAACAGAGGGAATATTTGCATATTTTGACTATAAAAATATCAATATTTTTATTAATATTTTTTAAATAAAATATAATAATAGTTAGTCATTTGGAATCGAGATGGCGCTGGAATACAAATTTAAAAAAATCTATAACCATTATTTTTTTTTATATTTAAATTTTCATTCAAAATATCTTCTAGAGAATTAAATTTCTATTTTATTTCTCTATAATTCGTTAATATATTTTTTTGTTAATGAAGTAATATTTTACTACTGATTAATAGAATATAATAAACAGAGGACGGCCCAAAAGTCAGTTAACCGTGTTTGTGACGATGTTTTTTTTCCTTTTCTTTCTTTTACAGAAATAATACATTGTAAACAATAAAATAAAGTACTTGCATAAGACAGGAATTTTTTAATGTTTACAATAGTTAACTAACTATTGGGCCACTCTTTAAGAAATTAAGTATACTATTAAGAAACAATTAAATTGTAGAATTAAGTAAATATTATGATTAAAAACAATTATTTAATAGTGACAAATATCTGATAAATTGTACAAATAATTGCAATCTTAATACTGTATTTAACATTCTGAAGTGTATCGAGTATTACCAAAGATAAAATTAATTTAAACTGATAATATTTACATTGATCTTCATTATGATTTTTTCACTAAGGGATTTCTTTTTCCACTGTTTCCGTCCTGTGGGCACTAAAAGAGTGTCGTTTTTAATACCTAACATGGGAGACAACCGGATGGCCGAGTGGTTAAGGTGTCAACTTACCGCTCTGGAGAACCAATGGCGCGTTATAGTTTCATGGATCCCAAGGAAACTTGAATTAGGTGCTTCATGTACTGTACAGTGTTGACTTAGGACATTTCTCATCGGGGAAATCCCCCGATATCCTCGTTCGTTTTTAGCGCAACACCGGCAATCTAGAGTCTTCAGATATGGCGCCAAATGTAAATTTCGGTATTTTTACTATAGTAATGAGTTTATAAAAGATTGGTTTTTGGCTCCTTGTTGGTGGCCCCAGGCGATTGCCCATTTTACCCATAGGATTACGCGCCACTGTAGAGACCCGGAAACGAATACGGGCTGGTAGAAAACTCCTTAAATTTCTCAGAGAGATGGCTCATTTCAATACAGTATGTCGAGCCTCGGAAATCTCTTTGGGATCTGACCGAACCCATATTGGGTTTGATTAATTAAAAGACTTTCTTAGTGCCCACAGAACAGGAAGAGTAACAAAGTATCTTGGTTTAGGCCAGGCCTACAATGAGGGTTACCAGATAGTTAGATAATAGGGTCCAACGTATCTGGAACAGACCAACTATAAAAAATTGCTGGACTAAAGCCAGGTTCGATCTCCAGTCCCCAAAAATTTCATTTTATTTTCAACAAAACAAATAAAAAATTTATGTTCTACTCCACATATTAAATAAATTAGATTGCATTACATAACTAACTATATTTAATACTAAAGGTATTGGTATGGAAAACGGAATGGAGTCATAAAGTTTCACTGTTTTCATCAAGAATGAAATCAATAAAAACTTTATGGTTTCCGTTACTATAGAAAAAAAAATCAGCTGAAAAATTAGTTCTTTTTCAACGGAATTTCCGTTTCATATCTGCATCTATATATGTACAGTACGCTTCCTAGTAGATCTAGAAATGTCATTAAAAAGAAATCACTGTACTACTCGGTAATAGAGGAGTACATAAATTCGAGGTAATATCGACACACATAACTTTTCTCCATGTGAGCAACAGAAAATCTTTTTCCATGCTTATCATGGGTAAGGTAATCAGAACATTCAGCACAAAACGGAATACCACAGAGAGAAATGGGAAACGAAACAATTACATTTTTGTACACAGTAAAACACGTATAAAACAGAAGCTGAATAAATTTATTACTGTAACGTACTCCTCTTGTATCCTCATATCCTCACAAACATGAAATTAGAGGAAAATAAAACAAAGGTTATATTTTAGCATATCTTTCTCTTTGAATTGATTATATTTATAAAAACAGGGTGTAAATTTCAGGATAATTTATATTAAAATTCAATTTTGAAAAACGTAGTAATATGAAGAAATAATTAACAATAGTTGAGTATATTTATTTAACTCCTTTATCTAACATTTATTGAGGTCACTTTGTATTTTTCTCACTATTCTAACAACATATTTTTCTCATATATCTACAGAAAACAAAATTTTTCAAAAAGATTTCGAAGTTTTTATGCTTCGCTACAGATTAAATCTACTTAAGTATAATTTAATAATAATTTGTTAGTGCATTATACGAATCACCCAGTGACTGTGCATAAACGTCAGACAATAATTTCAATATTGGATTATGTAAATCTAATCTATTTATTTAAATTAGGTATTCGTTGATCTTTTAAATCAAAGATTTCTTAAATATTAACTCTGCTTTTTATACACTTCGGGATAAATTTTCGGAAACTCCAATACTGTACAGTGTATTGTTTTTAAAAATAATGAATTAACGGTCTTGTACCAATTTATATTATTCGTGTCAAATAATTAATAAATTTTCTTGAGGGCCTTTTTAATCATACCTATGGTAAATTTGGCAGGCTCACAATGGGGTGGCCCAATCAACCAAACGATTGTATAACAATGAGTAAAGACTTTTTCTTACAGATGCTATAAAATACATATCTTTTGTATTTAAGTAAAGGTCACACCTTATTTAAATACTTTTTCTTTTAATAATTTGGTTAAGATACAATCCTTTTAATCAGGGCTCTGTACAGAAGTGTATAATGTCTGTATCATTACTACATAATCATTATTCTCATTCGTATCTTATCTTGAAAATTTCGATGCCTCGTTAAAGACTAATCTATTTAAGAATAATTTAATAATTTGCATTATAACATCATTATACCATTTATATCATTCGAATTTACATTTTTTTTTTTTGTCATAAGATTATATAATGAAGAATTATACTGGAGGCTCATTTATAATGAAATGATTTCAATGTTTAACCAATAATATCAATCATTGTAAAAATATGTGTGTTAAATCACTTGGAAAGAAATATTGGAGGTAATAATGTATATCAAGAATGCTATTAATTGATTAATAAACGTAAGATCACTATTTATTACGGCATAACTTTTCGATTTTATTCCAATTTGACTATAAAAAAATGATAAAATTTTCACATAAAAAAATTATTATCATAATTTAGGTAATAAAATATTTTTCCTGTATAGACCTAATATTTTGAAAAATCTATTATTAATTTACACTTAATTATTTACGTTTTAATTAGATTTTTAAACGATTATTAGCAATTTTATCCATGATTCGCCATTGTTTCTTTTATCTATTGTAAAAATATTAGCGCAGATATTCAATACCATTCGGTCTAAATTCAATAAAATTTAGATTTTTAAACGTGTACAGTACCTCCAATTTTGTCCTCGATCTGCGAGGTTGTGAATAAATTACTTAATGCAGACAAGGATGGGTGGATACGCAGGCAATCGTTACAAGGGGGTGGAGTGTTTATAAAAATGTTACGTAAATGCTAGGGTCTCGATCCCTAATTAACAGAACGATTCATTTTTGTTTCTAAATGTTTGCGTAGCAAACCATACTGTTTATTTCACTACTTTGTACTGTACAGCACATTATACAGGTAATTAATAAAGTAACGTTCGGTACCCTTACTGTGTATTTTTCCTTAGTACAATTAAGGAGATTGATCGAAAATATATTTTACGTAATTTTAGAGGTGGGCATGTGCGACAGAGTTACCAAATTTTACATGGAGTTGGAATGGAAGTTGAAAAATACTACATAATTTATGAACGATCTCTGCTATTGTTTTCTCTACCCATCAGTGCAAATGTTCAAGCCTTTGTGTTCTATATTCAACCAATTTATAATAATAATATCTTACTTTTAAAGCATTAAAACGAACTTTAAATGTTTAAATATGCATCCGCAATCCTCTGTTGCCTTTATTTTAATCCATAGTACAAAGGTTAGTGTAAGATGTTCAGAGTTACCTAGGCTCTACATATAATAAAAATTCCAAATAAAAACAAAATAATACAGTAATTTTTTAAAGAATTGTTTAAACATAAAGAAAAACGAGTCACGACAATCGAATAAAAAATTTGCGCCGATCAAATATCTTAAATAGGTTATATTACACCCCCTCCATTTCCAATCTTTTTACATCGATTTATCGATAAGCACCAATCTTATCAAGTAATATTTTTAAAAAATATATTAAAGTTGCCTTCGTATATAATCTCCTCACATTACAGAATATAATATTAACGCAGAAAACGGAATTTCGATTTGATAAAGAAGAAAAACAGTTTTTCTCTTCTGATGTCTATGATTCGTAAATATATATAAAAAAAAAATTCTCTCTATCGTTTCGTATTACTCGAAAATTTTATCTCTTAATACTAAATAAATATATATATAATATATATATATTTTTATTTAATATTTCCTACATTTTAAATTAGAAAAAAAAAATCCCTGAAGAGGGATAATATCGATCAATTTTGTCGATTGCGACAATACCAATGGCCATTGGGCATGCGCTCTATTTAACGCCCGTGTACGATGAGGAGAAAATGATGGTTCCTATATTCATTCGGGCGAAGAAACCGGAAAGAAGGTGAGTTTTACCATTAATAAGAATATACTTTCTATAACGTTACATGTAATATAAACAGTCGAATCATGAGGGATATTTTAAATTCTTCTTTTTTTTATTGTCCAATCAACGTTGGTGTTTTTATTATTTTTTTTAACACGAAGAATACCTTTGCAAACTATACCTATTTTTTTTTTTTTTTAGCATTTTAAATGATCGATTTCGACCTTTCATTCCATTCTAATTAAATGTATCTTGAGCTATTTACTCGTCTGAATTGTTTTTAGTAAACAAATACGTTTATAAATTCTTTTAAATTAATATTTAATCGGTAGAAAAATAATTTTTTTACCCTTATAAAGACCTATCGAATAGTAGAACAGGTGTCGGCAGGTATTAAGTTTCTTTACTTGGTATTATATCCATATATACATTTTTTTAAAAATTAATTAATAAATATTACACTTATTTTTCTTGTTTTGATGCGTTAATAATATACAAAGACTGGTAGAATTAATTTAATTAATTTACGAGATAAATTTATAAATATTTCATAAGGACACATATCAACAACACCTTCGAAATTATTAATGTAGACAATTCAATAGAGTCTTTATTTTATAATTTTTTATAACTTTATAAGAGGTTAATAATAACGTTAAATTCTACTCGATTCAATATATTTCATATTTTAATAAATAAAGTGTATACATTTTTACTGTTTAAATGGCAATTTCTCTTGATTTTTAAATAAATTTAACTGGTTTATAATTATTAAATTACTATTCTGATGAATCGTTATAAAATCTCTAGTATTTGCTAAAGAATAACAAGAGAGAGAGAGAGTGAAAGTTTTTAATATTCTTCTTTTATTAAGCTAATTAATATTTATAATAGGAACTAACTCATATTTCTCTATTATGTGTAATCTATTTATAAATTTATGAAGTAATCTTGATGATGTTTTGAAATCTTTTTGAAAATACAATCATCTTTCAATTTAGGAAATGGATGACACTTCACTCACTCTTTTCTTTTCTATATTTTATACAATAATTATGTTACTTCTGAAGAAATATGAAATATTAACTATACAATTTTAACAATATAAATATTAGAAATTACAAAAAAAAACTATGTAATATTTATAATTTCAATATTATTTTATAAAAGAAAACACTCTACATTTTATCAAGTAGTAAGTAAGCTTATCTGTCAAAAATACGAAGCAAAATTCATAACAAGACTCTAATAAATATGGAGATGGTTACGTTCATATTTATTAATTGTATATTTATCTTTCTATTAAAGCCTGGTACAATTAAGCTCTAAAAATAGAATTAATAATTAGACTCTTATGCTAAGAAATAATGAAGTTAATCGGTAAAAAGATAAACATACAACCAACGTAAAGACACGAAAGTGAATTAAACTTGTTAATAAGATTCTTCACTAGACAAAAGAAGAATGAAAGATATAAATATATTTAAAAAAGAGTTAAATGAACTCGTATAATAGTTTAAAAGTGGAATAAGACGTATATTTTTCTTAAAATGTATCGGCTGAGTCAGCCATATTTATATAAATAGATACGTATTGATCGGAAATCGATTTCGGATGTAAAAGTCACTCGATATTAAACTCTTACAAAAAGGATTTTTGTACAAATTATACTTCAGAACTTATTAATTTGACGATGAATAAATTATATATTAATTTAGCGCATTAGTTTGGAACGTCTGCCTTTTCTTAAGAGATTTAAATCGATTATTCTTCCAGATAATTTATAAACTAGATTAATTTACATCAATCAAGTGTAATTAAGTGAAAAGAAAAGATCGTTAACTCTATACTTTTGAATGTCGTAGATAATTTGCATCAGAGGAATTACTCAAATAACGATTTAAACGTATAATTAAATTAGTTTTAAAATATAATAATAATAATTTTAATATTTAAATAATGTTTTTTTTTTAATATATTCTTGTTTTGTTTTTTTTTTTAGATGATCGGGCTGACAATCTTGATTTTCTTCTGATGTTTGGCATGCAAATATATATATTATGAATCACTTGAAACTAGAGGGAGAAAGCGGAACTCTTCATGCTCCAGTTGCTACTGGACCAATTGCTCGATCGCCGAGCAGGGAAAGTTTAACTACCGATCTTTCGTTGATGTCATTATCTAGTTTGGGTTCAGATTTCGGACGCCTGAGAACATCGTCTCTAGGGCAATCCAGAAGAGAAGATAGTTGGAATGTGCGCGGTAGTCGCCATTGTTTGCGGTTATCGTTTGATGGATCGACAAGAAGACATTTGGCAAATGAGATTCTCTTCGAAGAAGATACGGAAATTATTCGAAATTGTGGAGTTTTTTGTTCGGCTTTTGGATTAATGAAGAGTTTCAGCACCAGCGATTTGGCTAACATGTGCGTCGATGCTGAACCACTCCGTTCTACAGTTTCCGAATTAGCTCTATCGAGTTGGAGGAAATACGAAATGAACCAAACTCATCACGAGCATCCTTCACGATCCTGTTCTACATGGGTTGCTGTAGGAGAAGGTCCTTCTCCACAGCCGGGAGCTAAGGACTTCGTTCGTTCCGTCAATCAAAAAATTCGCCAAGTTTATATTAGAAGAAGATTGGTGAGCACATACAAAGCTTTGGAACGTCTTACTCGGAGCCAATTAAATTTACCAGATTGTAGTCAACATCATGTAACGTCACTCGGGTTTCACGGCGCTAACAAGACACTCTGTCTTACAGTCAAAGACATAGAGAGGGACAAAGGTAAACCGCTTTCAAAATACGAACGCAATATTATGATATTTACATGGCTTCAGAGTTTGGACGAAAATGCATTTGATCAATTGACGTAAATAGAAACATTAGAACTTCTTTCAGATTGTCTGTGATAAGTGTATATACTCAGCACTGGAGGAAAGAAGCCTAGAAATACGTCCATACACAATTATGTTCTCTTTTAAGCTCTCCATAGCTTTCCAATTTGGTTTGTAGCAATTAAAAATGCTCCTAATTAAAACAAATAGTGATACTTAACACACTTCTTTGCAGAAATCACACAAATCTTTTCACTTAAAAAATCATTTAAAAAAAGAGGATAAATTGTATATAGTAAGAGCTGTGATTTAGAATGAACTATTTTTGCAAATGACTGCCACATATCAGGGTGAAGTGTTTAGTTGAATCGTGTAACAGTTTATAAATTTTTTCTTAATAATCACCGTTCCGATATCTGTTGGTCGCTTGCAATTAATAGAAATGTTTTCAGAATTAATGTTGTAAAAAATTTTTAATAAATCGCTACATGTAGTAAATTGATTGTTTCTGTCTAAATTCCATCAGCGCATAATTCATCATTAAAATGTCAGTTTAAAATCTAGTCGTAAGGATCGTGTGTCAAAGTACAGACCAATGAACTCTGCATATGTATCTTTATAATGAAAAATCTATTTAATAATTCAAATACTGAAGAGATTTCTAATGTTAAGATTGATTCTTTACCTACATAATTGGCAATTGTTAATTGTCAAGTTGACTATTGTTTAAATTCTGAGAGATATACAATTAAAAATTTGAAATATTTTAGCGAAAATCAAGATAATAATTTGAATTAAGAACTAAATTTATCAGTAAAAGTAATCGTTTCCTTGTTCACAGAAAATGATGAAGTCAAGAGATTGACTCATTCAGCTTTCCACATCACTATTTTTCCTTTTAATTTCGATTTTGTTCGCTAAATTAGTGAAATTACTTAGTTTAGTATGAATTATAAACAAGTTTAAATATTATATAAATGATAAAAACTTAACATTATAATAAATTATATCTTAAAATCTTGAACAAATTTCAGTTACGATCGTATGATCCCATTGATCGTGTGATTTGACATATCACAATAATATATATTTCCTAATATTTCACGTATCTAAATCGTAAAAAATGTTTCTCAATTGTTAGTTTTATAATATTTTTATACAATAAAATTTATTTTAAACTGTTAATTCACTAACGTTTCTAGCAACATAACGCACTGTCATCCAATGCTAAATTCATCTCATATATTAATTAATAGACTATCCTGTAGGAATATCTTATACTTTGCTTTATAACATTATAAATTGTGTGCTATTTTCCATAAGTAATACAAAAATCCAGTATGTAGCCTATCTGATCGAAAAAGTACGTAGAATTTAAATTTAGACTTCGAAATAAACAATGGCCTTCTGTGTTCAAATTCTTGTAAAAAATACAGTATATATACTATATACGAATAGAAAATAAAACCGATAAAAATACTGTAAAATCTTATAAATTCCATTCAATATTCTATTAATAATCGCAGCATATTTACTTGTCAGATCTTCTCTTTTTCTTCTAACCTGTTGATACGAAGGTTATGACCCTCTATCTGACTTCGAGGAGAAAAGGAAATATATAAAGGTTTGGAGCTTATTATAAGTATTATAATAACTTGAATAATCATAAAAAATATAGCATAAAAAATTGCAATACGACAGAATAAACATCGCTACTACAACACCAATTAATACTAGCCAATTACAGTACATTTTTAAGATTAGTTAAAATTTGTTTTAATCGTTATTAAAATAATCTCGAAATATATTTGGTTAATTGACTTTTGACCCATTCTATGTACACGAAAGAATGTACTAAAGCAATTTATAATAATGTCTAATTAATAAATACAATAACCTATACTGTGTATAGAGCCTTTATCCACTAAATACAATATTCAATTTGTAACTATGAGTATATTAAATATAATCATTTAATTATAACTTCAGATTTTATAGTCATTATTATTTTATATTATAACCGAATAAGAGCTGTATTAAAGCTAAGTCAAAGGAAGAAAAAAAAATATGTATATGTTTGGATCTTATCGCGTGATCATTCCAAATTTCTCTCTCTTAATTATGATCTATATCCGGAACATCTTTTATTTCTCTTCTAAAATCGATACTATTTTTATAAATAGAAAAAAAAACAGTCGTTCTTGAACAATGTTATGTATTTTTTTAATATTTTGTTCGTATGAACAGATGATTCAGGCACTAATCTATCGCTCTGGATGACTCAGGTTCGAGTTTAATGCCATTCAAAAATTTTCATTGATAGGATTGAGTCAAATGTGTCTGATCCCATGACTGATCATTGGATCATCTCCATTGAGGACCTAGCCAAAATCTCTTATATCCATACGATAATCAAGAATCAAAAGTCAGAGTTGGAAGTTAACTAATAAGAATTCAATACTTGTAATAAATATTTATTTATAATTTATAAGTAAATACAAATATAGTCGTCTAGAATAAAAACTATATATAGACTTTTTACTCATTATTTGCGGTTAAATCTTATATAATTTTAAAACAATATTAAATAAACAATAATTTAATAAATAAATATTAATAAAACTAAATTCGAAAAGAAATTTAAAATGATAAAATAAAAGTTTTTTTTTTTTTTTTAAATTTTAATTGACTCCCAAGAAACAATTTTTTAAACATGTAATTGTATAGTACATTAAAGAAAAACCGAAGAAAATGAATTTATTTTTCATAAATTTAAGCTTTAAAAATGTGTACTATTCGTACTACATATTGGCGACATAGTGGACATTCACATAGTTTCTTTCCACATTCGGTACAAGTTGCCATATGACCGCATTCTAGTAAAACGCAATCAATAGATTCTGCCATACAGATTTTACAAAGGGAGTCGTCGTTATTAAGGTCATTTGAATTTTCATTTAATCGTTTCTGTTGCCATAATTGTCGAACTTTCTCTTGAAGATCTTTCTTTTCGCAGCAGCCACGATAATCCACGTAATTTCTTGTAAGAATGAGCTTTAATTGACGAACTGTTAAGTCCGGAATCTCTGTCAAACATTCGATGTCGCTTACAGTTAGAAGATGGGTACCGTTCTTGTTTTTCATCGATTTACCTTCAAAACGTGTTGGCTTTCTTGTACAAAATAACTCATTCTTTCTTCCTTTATCTATGGTTATCATTTTTCTTACATTTTCTTTTGAACCATAATGGAAACGTTCATCCGAAGTTACTGATAATCCTTCATTAACAAAACGATCTCTTGATGTACCCGCATCTTGGATATTTCTGTTATTATCGGGTGAAACATTAAAACACGTGCAGCAATAATAATGTTTATTTGGTGTACGATGAATACACGAAATACAACACAGACTCTTGCATTTTGAGCAAATTTTCTTTCGTTTGAAATATCTTAAATTAACTTGGCAAATGCTACAAATTAATTGATTTGATTTCTGTTCGGAAATATTTTGATTAAATTGACGAATAACGGAAGATCCATGAAATGCTGCAATACCCATTTTAAATTTCTTTCATAACATTAAATTTAAGAAAAAAAAAAAAAAAAACGTTCTTTCTCTGTAACTGATTTTCGAATGAATTAGAATATTTAAATTATAATTTTATTCTTTTTTAAATTTTTATCATTTATCAAAATATATTTTGATAATTATTTTTGAAAATAACATAAAACTGTTTAATATTTTAAAACGTTTTGCTATTTTTTAGTATTGAAAATAATATTAATTCAATTTAATTCCGGATTTAATATCTTATCTTGAAGAGTGATCATTGTTGATGGATAATCACTCTCCAAGAAAAGATACGAAATCCAGAAATACCCATCCAAAAGAAATCACAATGATCTGAAACTTTATAGACAAGACTCCGAATAAAATTCTAACTAGAAGACTTCACTGTGTCTATTTAATGAACATCATTAACATAGAAATTTCCTTCTTTTTCTTACATAAAGATACTCGCCTTTAAGTTAGATCGATCCTTAACGAATATAGACGTTCTCTTACAAGAAACACGCGAGGAACATCTTTTATTAACAGAATATCATAAAAGAAAATACTCTGTTCTTCAAGAACTCTTGATGTTGGAGATGGTTACATAAATGATGAGAAATGTTTAAGTTTCCTTAACTGCATTTATTATAACTTCCATTTATGCATTAACATGGCACCAAGTAATGTCAATTTCTATAATTTAAATTGTCATTCAAATTATATTTTTATGTTAAACCACTTCGCAACAATAGCGAATACAATAAACAGGTCATTCACCACATACATATACAAGTAGAGACAGACAGACAGACAAATAATATCGGAAAACGAATATTATATTCAAATTAGTTCAAAGATATTTAGAAAAATAATGTTTTTTTCTCCGTGTTTAAACACATTTAATAAGCTATATCAGAGCAACTACGTAAGTAAAAAGAAATCCGATTATATCATCATTTATGTCGTGACAAATAATCGGATAAGAAATGAACCCGTCCAATACAGATTCATTTCTTCCGAGATTTCGATTATTAATCACGACACGTAAGGAATGACTCCAATACAACATGACGTACTGTACAGTCAGCAAATGTGCTGCAGGGTTATTATGGTTCATATGATTGTTTACGTCACAAAGACAAAAAAAAAAAAAAACACATTTATATGAAATATTGAGTGATATTCATGATTTTATCATTTCTTCCACTTATATTCTAGTCATATCTGGAGACCGTTCATTTATTAATTTATTAATTATGTTTTATTAATATAATGTTGAATGTTAGAGCTACATAATATATTGTAATTCAAATATTGATATTTCATTTTGAAATAACACGTTTATCACGATAATTGGATAGTACGAAATGGATTGGTCAAGTAGACACTAATTGATATTTTTTCCTAATTCTACTCGGCACCGTGGAAAACCAATTAAAACATATTTTGTGATGACCGATAACTTCGTATTATGTAATTTTCTTATTCGGATGCCACCATACTGTTGGTTCCGATGGAAAGAAGGGACTGTTGAGGAAGGGGGCTGAAGTAATTGGACCAAATGTGGTCGTTGACCTCCTCCAGGAAGAGAGGACGGTCAACGATGGTAAAGTGTTTATATGCGTGGGAAATATGATCTTGTAAATATCGCTTTTATAGAAAAATTATTGGGCTTCAATTTGAAAAAAATTGTATATCTGTCCTCCCTCTGTCTGTTCTGCCTTAATCGTAAGAAAGGAGTTAGACGGATGAAAATCGAGATCAAATGTTGGGCAGGAGGCCCAGATTAACTATTACATACGGTTTAGACCAGAAATCACATAACTTCAATTCAAAATTTTCCCCTGAACGGAGTTAGATGACCATCATGACTCTATTGCTAACAGGAAAAGTATGTTGTACGGGGGCAAGACACCACTAAAAGAATTGAGAACATTGTGACAAAAAAAATTGCAACCCGGCATTCTGACAAATAATAATCACTCTTTAGAATTAGTTTGGTTTATTTGGTTACGGCAACGCAACATCCTAGCGAGCAGCCTAGGAGTGCATAGTGAACAAACAAACGAATTCTCACATTTATATACATATATAAAGAAGATTGAAAAAGAAAATTGAAATGGAGCGCTATGTTAAAGGAATGGGGAAGAGAGAATATTATTCCAAAATTTTATATGGACCTAGATATATCGGTACGGATGGAACAAAGAGTATGAAAGGTAATAATTTGAAGATTAATGATTAAAGAGAAAGATCAATGGAGACAATTAAAAAAAAACAAACAGTTAGTACTTGATTTCGATTGAGAATAACTCATAAACATGTAACAGTCCTGAACGAGGAGACATTATTGGCGTAACTACAATGCAAATCGTGCGAACCGAGCTGGATAACGGTTAGATAAAAGAAAAACCATTAATTAAGATTAAAAACAATTAATTTAGATAATAATAATAATAATAAAATTTTAATTTTTGTATTTAGGTACAATTTAACAGAACCAGAAAATATTATTAATCAGAATTTCACAATGGTTTGTTTCCGGGTTCCACAAAACACGTCTGAAGTTACGCTACTGAAAGACTTTATCATAATGATAATGATAAAACATGTACAAACAGTTTAAAAACTAAAGCAGAGCAATATCAAGAAAAATTCAGGAAATTTGGACGACATATTCAGGAAAAGCTACAGGTATTCTAATATCAAGAATTTAATGGCATAATTTTGTAATTAATATATTTCTTAATATGACTATTCTAAGTTTCATACATATTCCAAAGTGTTAATAATACAAATCTAACATATTTAAACAGATAAGATCTAAAATGTGTATTGTTATTATAAAACTATAAATACTATTCTAATAACATACAAAACCATATTGTAATTATTCATTGATTTATGTTGAAATAAAAGCCATAATATAAAATTTATAAGACAATATTTTAACAAAAATGAAACTATAATCAGTAGAAAGCCATTGACCACTAACACGCGCAACAACGTAATTTCTAGCACAGGATTAAAATCGATTGTATTACAAGAATAGCCTATTATATGACCTTTTACCATTACAAAAGGGAAATTTGATCATCTTAATTAAAGTAACATAACGAATTCAGGCTGTTTTAAAGATTTACTCATAAAAAAATAAGCATAGAAAATTGCAGAGAAGCTCTCATATTGTTCATAATGAGTTTAAATAATCCATATATTTAAATATATCCAATTANTTTCACATAAAAAAATTATTATCATAATTTAGGTAATAAAATATTTTTCCTGTATAGACCTAATATTTTGAAAAATCTATTATTAATTTACACTTAATTATTTACGTTTTAATTAGATTTTTAAACGATTATTAGCAATTTTATCCATGATTCGCCATTGTTTCTTTTATCTATTGTAAAAATATTAGCGCAGATATTCAATACCATTCGGTCTAAATTCAATAAAATTTAGATTTTTAAACGTGTACAGTACCTCCAATTTTGTCCTCGATCTGCGAGGTTGTGAATAAATTACTTAATGCAGACAAGGATGGGTGGATACGCAGGCAATCGTTACAAGGGGGTGGAGTGTTTATAAAAATGTTACGTAAATGCTAGGGTCTCGATCCCTAATTAACAGAACGATTCATTTTTGTTTCTAAATGTTTGCGTAGCAAACCATACTGTTTATTTCACTACTTTGTACTGTACAGCACATTATACAGGTAATTAATAAAGTAACGTTCGGTACCCTTACTGTGTATTTTTCCTTAGTACAATTAAGGAGATTGATCGAAAATATATTTTACGTAATTTTAGAGGTGGGCATGTGCGACAGAGTTACCAAATTTTACATGGAGTTGGAATGGAAGTTGAAAAATACTACATAATTTATGAACGATCTCTGCTATTGTTTTCTCTACCCATCAGTGCAAATGTTCAAGCCTTTGTGTTCTATATTCAACCAATTTATAATAATAATATCTTACTTTTAAAGCATTAAAACGAACTTTAAATGTTTAAATATGCATCCGCAATCCTCTGTTGCCTTTATTTTAATTCATAGTACAAAGGTTAGTGTAAGATGTTCAGAGTTACCTAGGCTCTACATATAATAAAAATTCCAAATAAAAACAAAATAATACAGTAATTTTTTTTTTTAAAATTTAACTTGTAGAATATTTCGACATTATTACAGGATTCACTCATTTTTCTTCCCAAATTGTCATTAATTCTATAGTTTTTGTTAACCTTCATAATTTTAAAATACTCATAATATTGCCTTTCAATAGGTTTTGTTTCTGTTTTTAATATTTTTATTCTTTCTTTTACAATTTCACACCCTTTGGAATTGCAATGTCTAGCTACCACTGAAATAATATAATTATATTTAATTGCTCTCACATGTTCTCATACATACACATAATGGATGGCCAGTTTTACCAATATATTTATTACTAGGTTTAAAACTGCAATTAATCATATATATTACATACTGCTTTTTAAAAATATCATTATTAAATCTTCTAAACAGCTATATATAACTTGCTATAAATTTTAAGGACTTATCAAACCACAGTTTTCAATTGGAGCTTTCCAATTGAAAACTGTTGTGTGATAAGTTCTTAAAATTTATAGCAAATTACATATAGCTGTTCAGATTTATTACAATATTGGACAAAAAGCAAATAATTATATTATTATTTACAACTGTTGGTTTACATAATTCATTACTTATCAATTGTCTTAATTCTGGGCTAACAAGAATGTTAAACATTTTCATAATTTTTTTTCTTAATCTGTTCAAAAATATTTTCTACATAAATTAAACTAACATATTGTATATTATTTTTTCTTCTAGTATTATTATTATTAGAGTAATTTCCAATTTGTATAACCAACTTGTAATTAAATGTTTTTGGATACTTATTAAATACAGTAAATACATCAACTTGTATTTCTACTTCTTGGTCATTTTTATCAGTCGTTCTATTATGTATTTTCTTTATAAACATATTAAATGTATTCCTTTTTACATTTAATAGTA